AAATCCCCTCTGCATCCCAAAGTTACTCGAAGAGTCCTACCACAACTCCTCGTTGATCAAGATTAGGTCAGAGTTCAAGATCCGTCGCTCGGCAAGTTTTACAGGGGTCACATTGAGGCTCAAGGCCCGTCAACCGATAGATTTTTGCGAAGGTCGAATCAAGGTTCAAAGCCCGTCGATTGATGAATTTTTGTGGAGGTCGGATCGAGGTTCAAGGCCCATCGATCGACAAGCTTCGTAAAGGTCAGATCGAGGTTCAAGGCCCATCGATCGACGAGCTTTGTAAAGGTCAGATCGAGGTTTAAGACCCATCGATCGACAAGCTTCGTAGTTAGATCGAGGTCCAAGGCCCGTCGATTGACAAATTTTTGCGGAGGTCGGATCAAGGTTCAAGGCTCATCAATCGACAAGCTTCGTAGAGGTCGGATCGAGGTTCAAGGCCCATCGACTGACGAGCTTTGTAGAGGTCAGATTGAGGTTCAAGGCTCATCGATCGACAAACTTCGTAGAGGTCAGATCGAGGTTCAAGGCCCATCGATTGACAAGCTTTGTAGAGGTCAGATTGAGGTTCAAGGCCCGTTGATTGACAAATTTCGTAGGGGGTAGATCGAGGTTCAATGCCCAAAGTCCATCGACAAAATGTTGGCCCAAAGTTAGATACCCAGTGATCAGTTATTGTTGATGTGGACTTTGTCATAATGTTGACTGTTTGACTTGACCTTGGGTGACGTAGCTGCACCACATCCACAAACTCCAAACAAACATTATCAACCAAATTTCAGAGATCAGTCCGATGATGATACAAGACCCACTTCGACGAAGCCCAAATAAGCTCCATGAACATGCATGAGCTTTCATCAGTGACCAAATCGAGAAGCTCACACCCAACGACGACATTTCAAATGACCTTAACCCAGTAACTTCCATTGATACCCGCGAGTTTCTTTTTGTCTGGTGCACTCCTTTTCGGCGAGCTTCACAAACCTAACTAGTAAAGAGTCTCAGCAACTAAATCGGCGAGAAGGTCCGATAAAGCAAAGACCCAACAAATTGCTTAAGTCCGGTGACACCTCAAGCCCTCCTTGGCGAAACCCATCAGCCCGGCGACGTCTTACGCAACCTCGAACCAACTACAGCAACCAATATCTGATGAGCTTCCGAACAACGACTAAAACAAACGGATTCCCAAATGCATGCACTATCTATTGTGAACATATATAAAGTTGTAGACATCTATCGGTCCATGCAAACTCCATCAACGCCGGCGATATGTACTGAGCATCCAGCTAGCTAAACTCAACACGAGCTCCAAGTTGCTCCAAAACCCGCCTCGACGTACTCTATCAGCAACCAAACCTGAAAGCTCCATTAGCAAAAAGACCGGCGAGGCCCAGTTCAGCGAGGCTTACCCATGTCGATCATCATCCAGTGAGCTACACTTTCATGCATGCGTATCCGGCGAGCCTTGATACATCTGACATAAAGCTTCTTCAAAAGACCCAACTCCGACGAGCTTCAATCCAGTCCGGCCAAACAGTTCCGTCGAGCCCCTTATATATATTTCCGGTGACATCTCAGAGCATTAGCAATAACTTATTCAACCACTGCCATCCTTTCGTACATGAGCCAGCTTTTCACCGGTAGTCTATTGATTCACTCACTTTCTCTCTCTAAAACTATTTCTTCTTTTTCTCTCTTCATATTAACTTCATTGAAGAAAAATGGGCACAAAAAAATAAAATATCAACCCCATTGTAACTAAGAAAACGTGCTTTAAAAAGGTAAAAAAATAATAATAATAATCCATTTAAAAATAATTAAAATTAGATAGAATCCTGAGTGCAATAAAATTATTATTTTATTTTATTAAAATTATTAGATAGATTCCTAAGTAGAATAAAATTATTATTTTAATTGATAACTTATTTTATTATTTTATTTATAAATCAATTATTTGAAACACCGTAACATTCTTGTACTTATAATAATAGTATAGGTATAGATATAGAAATATATAGATATAGATATAACTTGTGAAGCATGGACGTATAAGGCATACCTGTGTCGTGTCCGTGTCGGACATTGACACTCATCGGATACTCATCGAACACGTGTCCGACACTTCATATATTTGTCCATAAATAAAAATAAATTTTTATTATTTTGCACACTTTCTCGACACTTCCGGACCCTTCATCGACACTTCTTGGACATTTAGGACGACACTTTCAAATATTTCTAACACAAGCCTACCCGATAATTTTAAAAATAATATGAACACGTTCTAAAGTGTTCAACTTTTTCCTTGAAATTTTTTTACAATGTACACATATGATCCAAGTGAAACATTAGATGATATTTGTTCATTTAAAATTAAAAACACTATTATGACAAAGTATTTGATATAAAATGCATTACACCTTTTGGTATAAAAATTAGAAATGAATTAAATTTTATAATACTATTACTCAATATATGTATATAAATAAAAATTCTTATTTATATATAGCCGTGTCCAAATCGTACCCGTGTCCTACTTTATAAAAATTTAACGTTTTGACGTATCAGTGTTGTATCCGTGTCCGTGCTACGTATCAGTAACATATGGAATATAACATTATGAGCCCCATGAGTGTAGAAATAAATATAATTTAATAATTTTTTAGTATACAAACACAAACATATTTGATGGAGCTAAGATTTGTAATGATCAATAGCAATTAATGGGCGGCTTTGATTGCATATGAAGCTAGGTCACTCTAATGTTTTATCATTTTGGTAATGGAGATCGCAGATCGAGATCGGAGATTCATGGCCAACAAGGTGCTTTTCGGGTTTGAAATGGGGGTTCTCATAGCGGGGGTGGTGGTCGGGGTGATGGTTATGGTGTGTTAACGAACCAAGATGTGAGGAGCGTAGAGGTTTAGTGGGTAGCGCGTGGTCGAAGGAAAGAGGTGCATGGATCAGATGCGCTAAAGAGTGTGGCTAGTGTGGGTACAGTTGTGGATACTCCTTTGACGGTTAAGATCCAAGCTGGTGGTTTAACGGTTCAGATATGTCTAAACATGCGTGCCTAGATCAAGGGAGGAAAATCAACTAGGTATTGACGCATATGTAGCCCGATTAAGGTTGAGTACCATCAACTTAGATAAATATGGGTAGGCAAGAAGTCAGGTCATGGGTGTTTGCACCCTAAAATTAAAAAATAATAATAATAATAGATAGCATTAGTCGATTGGAGAAAAGAAAAAAAAAAAAAAAAAAATTCAAAAAGAAAATAAAAATTGAAGTTTATTACTCTTATACTTTCATACAAAGACAAATTACAATTGTCAATTTAAAAAGAGGAGTTAATTGTACTAAGGAACGAATATGGGAGCACTTACTTGTGAAATGATAATGATACAATGGGAACATGAAGTGGTAGTTTTGCAGATTATAAGTGATTGCAAGGGCATTTATCTATCAATACATATAATTATCTTCATACACTGATGTGGCATGATCTTAAAGGTTGTACATGTACAACAAAGCAATCAAAAAGATGATCAATATAAGGGCCCGTTTGGCATGCGTTTTACTTTAGGCGTTTTGTTTTTGACTAAAACAGAAATAGCGTTTTTACTATTGGAGTGTTTTGGCAAAAATCGGAAGCACGTTTGGGAACGATCTTTTACTGTAGAAATGTCGGAAACAAAAACATGCAAAACATGTTTGGTAAGTCATGCGTTTCAAGAATTTTAAAAACAAAACATGTTTGGTAGCTCCAACTGTTGTAAACAAAATAAAACAGAAACAAAAAACATGTTTGGTTATCATTGTTTTTAATTTATTTTTATAAATTTTAAATTTATTTATAAATTTATTTCTATATAAATAGTCTATATATTTTTAATAAATATATTAAAATTTGAACACACAAACACACACACACACACACACACACACACACACACACACAGAGCATGTTATCTTGATCTGAAACTACACTTTAAGTTATTTGAAATTTCCTGGTATAGTTTGTTCCTTTGGTGATGATTGTCCATAGGTTTGTGTTTCATTCATTTTGCTCATTTTTCGCATTAGCGAAAGAAGAAAAAAAAAATACTACACAGCTCTGATAATAATTTTCGACTCTTATAAGTCTGCATTGGTGGGAATTTAACTCCAAAATACAGATTCTTGCCTTCTCTTTTATAAAAAAATGTAAACCCCCACCAAATTATATATATATTAATTTTTGTAATAGCCTATTTACAAGTTATTTGTAATAACCTACTTCAATTTTATTATCATTATACATGTATAGTCCAACTCAATATTAAAAATAAATAATATCTAGTCACATTTTACTATACTACATGAGAGTCAACATTTGTAAAAAAATTTGCAATAACCTATTTACAAGTTCTTTACAATAACCTGCTTCAATTTTATTATGATTATACCTGTATAGTCCAACTCAACATTAAAAATAAATAATCTCTAGTCACATTTTACAATACTACATGAGAGTCAATATTTGTAAAAAAAATTTGCAATAACCTATTTACAAGTTCTTTGCAATAATCTGCTTCAATTTTATTATCCTGATACCTGTATAGTCCAACACAACATTAAAATAAAAACGAACTCAATTGAAAGCATAATTGAAATAGAGTGTATAACATTTACAAGTCCTTAAATATTCAACCAACAAATTAAACAAGTTTAAGTTGTACATAAAATGTTTGGAACAAAGCATTAACAATACATAGTTGTCACTAAAAATTGATAAGAAGTTCATAAAGTGGATGACAATGGCAACGACACATCATCTTCATAACAGCACATGTGGCCTTCAAGAGAGCATCAACACACTTCATATCTGCAATAATAGCATTTAAGTTGAATTATATATCTGTAAAAAAGATTTATATTACATATATATATTGCAAGCTCACAATAGCAACAAATATATTACATATAAAAGAAAAAATATACCATCACTTTCAGAAGGATCAAGAGTGCCAAAGAGAATTCCAAATTTGATCAGCAATAGTATTACGCAACTGATCCATTTCTCGAAGCTGAGCCGAAGGCACATGCTCAACAATCTCATCATCTTCACCATCACTTTGAGGAGGATCATTACCATCAAATATGTCATCAGGCTGATGCTGATTTTTGATGAAATTATGTAATGTGCAACAAGCCATTACAATCAATACTTGTGTTGAAAACTTATAAGGAGGCATTGCCCTCAAAATAGCGAATCTCATCTTCAATAACCCAAAGTATCGCTCAATTATATTTCTCAAAGATGAATGCCTATAATTGAACACTTCCTCCCGACCACGAGGTTGTCTAGTCCTACGGTATTCCTGAAAGTGGTAAGTATGACCTCGAAATGGGGCCAAATAACCAGGCTTATTGGCATACCCTGAGTCCACCAAATAATACTTACCTGCCATGTTTAGAATACATAAAGATATATACAGTATGATAAACTAACCATATATTAAGTGAATTTGTAAAATAATATTACCTGCTGGTGGAGCTGGAAAGTTCATTGCCTCATTTTCAGTATACTCATTTAGGATTCTCGAATCATTAGCTGAGCCTTCTCACCCAGCTAGCACATATGTGAACCTCATGTCAAAGTCACATACAGCCATTACATTTTGTGTAGTATAACCCTTTCTACCACGAAATGGAAGTTGTGTACTTGCTGGCAGAGTTGCAGGAATGTGGGTTCCATCTATAGCTCCCACACAATGCCTGAAGTAAGGGTAAAACCTAGAAGACTCTCTAATCTTATTCGGAATCACAGAAAAATTAGGAGGGGCAATGATATGGGTGCCCAACTGACATACTGCATGCAACATAGCATGGAAGTGTCTAGAAATGGTTTCAGTGGAGTGTTGAAATCTCTCTGCTACAACACGATTCCTTTGATTATGAGATAAAGTGAGCAAAAAGATTGCCACTTGTTCATAAATAGTTAAAAATTTAGAATCCTTCAGCCCTATACCTTTCAGGGTACTACACAATGTTCTGAAAACTTCAGGGTACATCCTAAAATTTTCATAACATCTTTCTCTATGGCCGTTTAAAATCTCCATAACATATGTTTCCCCTTGTAAAATGGAATCCCTACAATGCCTCTTTTGATAAAAGTTCTGCTCTTCTAAAAGAGCAGCAAATATTAAGACACTCTCATTGTCCTCCTCATCGTCATATAATTGAATTATTCTTCTTATATTGTTCCACATATCCATTACCCTATTTAAAGATTTAATACAAGCAAAACATTTAAGTTAATAAGCAAATTAATTAAATAATAAACAAAACATTTAAATAATAAAACAAACATTTAAATAATGGTATTAAAGTCTTTGAGTACTAACAGGCATCCAAGAAATAAAATTATTTAAGTTATTATAGCCATCCAAATGTGAGATAATAAAAGTATTTAAGTTATTACAACAATCCAGATGTGAGATAATAAAAATATTTAAGTTATTACAGTAATCCAGATGTGAGATAATAAAAGTATTTAAGTTATTACAGTCATCCAGATGTGAGATAATAAAAATATTTAAGTTATTACAGTCATCCAAATGTGAGATAATAAAAGTATTTAAGTTATTACAGTCATCCAAATGTGAGATAGTAATAAGTTAAACGATGACACAAAACACAATCATCCATAAAGAAAAACTCAAACATTCAATGCCCAACCAATTCTTACATCCTCAGGTGCCGAAAGAAAAAATTTCTGCCACTTCTCAGAATCATGTAATAACTTCGATACCTTAGCGAATTGGGCCATCTCAATTCCAGGTATTTTTTGTAAAAGGAGCATGGAGGCATCAAACATTTCATAATCTCTATCATTTTTTGAGGGAGAGAGAGCTTCATCATCTCCTTTCTCACATGAAGATACACGAGTAGAAGTAGAAGATGCTTTAGCTGCTTTCTCTATTGCAGCTTCCATTCTCTCAGCTCTCCTCTCAGAATTCTCATTCATGTTTGACAAGAGTGCAGCTATACCAGGAGATAAAGCATCTCTTTTGGGACTGACCTCACAACCCTCTTCCTCATCATCGTCATCATTGGGAGTGGGCAAAATGATTGTGGGTGGTGCTGTAGTGGATGGGTGGGCATGCATCCCTTTTGCATATGTGTCCCCAAATATAGTCGACATCTTGTCAAAATGCTTACATCCATACTTTTTATACTTATTTGCATTCGTAACAACCTACAAATTTTGTTATAATATTAACCACATAACCAATAATATACAAGATTTTATTATTTATTTAGGACTAATAATTAAATTCCTAACCTTGCACAACCTGTCCCATCTCTCTTCCTCAACAATAACCATGCCCGTCTCATGGTTATATCCCACGCCAGTCTTCGATAATAATTTCTTAAACTCAGTATAAATTTTCCTCAAACCATTAAACTTATTCCGAAGTTGGGTTAAACCAAATTTTCTCCCCGTTTGAACATTCATTTGTTTGATTAAATTACTCCAACCACTTTTACTAAATCTTGTGCCACTACGATTATTAGCTTTAACTTCTTCCACCATAATATTCACGAATTTTTCAATGAGTGACTCAACCCATAACAATTTTCCATCGTTCGTAACTTCAACCACTTCTTCAATTGTGAGAGAATCACCGCATTGTTCCACATTCTCAACATTCATATCCATCTAACATATTAATAACAACACTATAATTAATAACAAAAAAATATATATATTAAACTAGGAAAAACTATTGATGGTATTAAAGTTACTCTATCACAACTACTGATTCATGAATGTTTATACTATTAGAATATATTTATTCCCCTTTTATACATTTGCTAGAAAGAGCTTATGATTTTAGGTTTTACTTAGTTCCTAGGAAACGTACATATAGTTAATATGGCATAAGTGCTGGAAAGTCCTACGAGAAGTTCACGCATTTAATAAAGAATACTGAATGAAAATATAAAAAATAAAAAACAAGAAGAGAAAGGAGAAATTGGTGATAAATGTTACAATATTAGGTATTTTACTAAAGGGAAATATGGTCATTTCATTGTAATAGCAATTGTATATATATACACATACGTGAGAGGAGAAGGGAAGCACTCTTGGTCACAAAATTTCACTAATAATTGTGTTTTCTTATTCTAGAAATCCTAAATTCATTAAGAGTAAAAGATGTAGATATTCTTCTGAACTTATGCATATTTTACTTAAAAGTGCTCAATTCTTGATTAAATATGCCACAAACTTTACAAGAAAATGATTTGGAGAGTTTTGAGAAACTTTTGCTTCTAGATAAACTTTTAATTAAAAATCCATATCAATAACAGTATATTTTCGATTGTATGGAATATTTATCATTTAATATTGTAACATACTTACATGTTATGCATCCACTTAATTATTCATATTTTTCTTATCCTTTTATAGATTTGTATAACCTTGAACCTAGTCATTTTATATATGCATATCGCCTAATCTAATTGGAAACTCTGTAACCATGTCACTCCCAAGCTCCCAAGCCAATTTTCTATACTACAACTGTGCAGCATGCCGTGGAGTCTCATTTTTTGTTTGTATGTGTGGTGTAGAATTCGACATACAGATTGTTGTGAAAGAAATCACCGGATTTGAAGAGAGGACAGCGGAGGAGAACAGGCCGCGAGAGGGAAGATCGGCGAGAAATATGGAGGCTCCGCCGTCCGGTTGGTTTGAAATCGACGGCGGAGCAGAAGAGCCTTCCATGGTGCCCAAAAGCACAAACCCTCGACAATTTTTATACCAGAGAGAGAAAGAGAGAGAGAGTCGAAAGAAATTCGTCTTTGTGACTATATGAGAGTATACGTATAGATTTTCTTTACAGATTTGGACTTCGTGCTTGCAGATTTGGAAACAACATCAAAGGAAACAACAAAGAAAGGGAAATAGAAGACAGTACTCACAGTATATCGCGATTCCTTTTTGTCGCCTCCCAAATCGCCTCCCAAATCGTTTCTCTAGGGTTTCAGAGGAGAGAGAAAACATCGGGCCAAAATGTTGCAAATCCGTTTTAAGGCTACTTCATCCGCTACAGTATTGGACCAACTTACTTCATCCGCTACAGTGTTTTTTATTGGGCTACAGTACTGAAACAACCAAAAACACCATTTTGGTGTTTCACTTTTGGACCCAAATTCAGCACTATTTAAAACAATATTTTTGTACTGTTTAAAACAAAATAAGTGTCACCAAACATGTTTTTGGGCCTAAAATGAAGCCCTGCAACAAAAACACCAAAGTAAAACACATAACAAACAGGCCCTAAGAGTATGAGTTGTGGACGACAGTTGAAGATCAATATATGGGGATTGCGTGGCAAAAGGAAAATATAAAAGTTTAAATATGAAGAATTGTTTGTGTTTGAATTTGAAAAGTGATAGTACAACGAATTGCCATGCAAAACTATAAATATAAGAGGGGTCTGTAATAAAGGTCCCCAACCAAACTTCATAAATTACTTTCTCACAGTGTAGCTTTTATTTTCTGCACTTCTCTTCTACTTTATTGTTTTTCTTAGGAGTAGTGTTAGAGTAAAATTCATATTCTTGTACTTGTATTCTTGTATAAGAATTCTACTTATGAAATAAAGTGGACGCTTGGCTTTGTCCCCTCCATTATTATTTTGTAAGTTGTTTGTTTTGGAATGAGTGAACGCTTGGACAGCTTCCGTTGTTTCCTTCATTTATTCCACCATTATTATTGTTGAAAGTCCTCTTCAGTGAGGCATCGAAGAATCTAAAGAAAGGGGTCATTCCTGCCTTCTAACAATCGTCCGATTCCAAAAGGCCGATCTGTTGATCTCATCAATTCAGGAATAGTTTAGTTATTCAACAACTCAGGTCGAATCAAACCCTAGCATGCCCCGTAAAAATTGAACGCCAAACAATGGGCAAATGTAGTTACAGGTCAACCTGAACCTGCATATATAATTTTTTTTACCTTCTCTTATTTGTACAAATGAGGTGGTGGTTGTTCCTTCAATTAAACTTATTGAAGTATATGAGGGGCAGAATGGGAGAATTGCTTGGTTGGAATTTTTTTTTTTTTTTAGATTAAGGGGTCTTCGAGGTTTTGTTCTGACTAATTTCCAAGGACCCAGGAAAGGTGCCTCCCCACCCGAGTCGGGTAAGTCGTGGAGCATGGTTGTGGAGGTATGGCTGAAGAAATTATTTACACTCAGTGGGAGTCAAACCTTAGATCTGATGCTTCACGAGGCACCAAGGCCAAGTGACTATGCCATTGAGCCAACCCCTCGGGGTTCCTTGGTTAGGTGTTTCATTAATAATAAACTTTCGTTTTATATTATAAATTCCATTGCTCATTAATTGTGTAATAAGGATGGATTGATGGAAGTTTTTGATATAGAAAAAGGGTTTTACATCTTTAAATTTGTAAATAGCTGGAAATAGGGAGGACGTTCTTGAGTGCGGGCCATTGCATTTTGTTAATCACTTAATTGTGCTAAAAAATTGGGAAAATGGTATGTCTTTGGATAAAGATTGTGTGGATAAACTATCTATATGAGTAAAATTTTCAAATATTCCGCTGTAATATTGGACTAAAGAAGGGTTAAGATACATAGCTAGTGCAGTTGTTCGGCCTTTATATGTTGATTCATTGACAGAAGGAAAGACACAGCTTAGTTTTGCTCAAATTTGTATAAATGTCAGTGCGGATCCAGAGCTTATATTAGAATAAGTTCTAGAGAGTATTCTGAAGTAGCGTAGTGTGGAGAAGGTTGTTTTACTTTGGGTACTACGTCTATATTGACTACTTATAATATTTCTGATATTAGTACTACTGGTCAAAATAGTATTATACTAATTATCATGGAGGAATCGATTTATGGTATTGAGTAACAATTGGGGCTGGTTTGTGATGAATAATAATTATTGGTATCCTTTAGTATAATTATTTCTATTTCCACTAAATAGAAATAATTAAATAGAAGAGTTTCTATTAGGCTAAGAAGTTAGCGTACTATTAGAATTCTATTAAAGTCTTGGATAAGGATAAACTTATCAGATCCCACTCATAGTCTTACATGGAATGCAAATAGTAGATCTAATGGTATGTGTGGAATAAGGAGATGTAATTATTTGAAATGTAGTGGCCCCAGATCCTTTTGATTCAATTGAAGGGATTAATCAATTGAAAGAGATTTATATTATTAATATATCAGATTCTCTATGCATAATTTAGAAGGAGATCTGAAGCCCACACTTATAACTACTTGAGGAATTCAAAATCGGAAATAGGAGTGAAGATTCGAAAGGTACAGCGGTCCATTGGAGATCAAGGTTTGTGCATTTCACATCTAGCAATCAACTCATTATTGGTGGTATGCAATTATTCAATTATCTTAGAAGTATGTTGATCTAACCTTGTTCGGTAATTGAGGATTAATATAATTCGTTAAAATTGATTGAAATGATCATGGGACACTCGTAAAATTATTTTTATTAAATTAAAAATCGCTTATGCAATATTATTTTTGTTATTCTAAGGGTTGCTTTCTCAACTGCCGAGTCTAAGACTCGCTCATAAGTTAACTGATAAAAACAACTTTCACCCCCGATTTTTATAAAGTGCATATAAATTCCTATATTTTGAAAATCTGTAGTAAATTGCCCTTTGATCGTTACTTTTACCATTTTTGTTTTGCAAAAATTCTAAAATTTAAGGTATTTTAGGTCGGTCTTCGATATATATTTTTTTTTACAAAAATCCCAAAAAAAATTATAAGAAACCCCAAATACCCCAAAGCTCCAAAAAAAATACAAAAAACCACAAATTTTGAAATCTTTTTTATTTTGATTTTTACTTAAAGGCATTTTTGGTATTTCAATCTTCAAAATGAAGAATCACCCTTATTTGTTCAATTTTAAAAATGTATGAATTTCTTTTAACACCCAGTATTTGCACATTTTGTATATAACAGTATGATTTTTGGCAATTTACCTTATATATAAATATAAAGTAGAGAAAATAGCACTTCGATACTATATACCTTTCACTTATAAAAATAAATTTATTCTATACTTCAATAATACTATTAAGTCTCACTTTATTACCTTTTTCCACATTAATTTTATATCTCTTAATCAGGGCGGAGCTAGAGTTTCATTCCAAGGGATGCATTTAGGGAGAGAGAATCAACTAACGTGACAAATATAAATTTTTTACACCTAAACGAGAAAAAATATATATCATAACAAAATCACTATTTTTTTCAATCCTAATTTATTAATTCCTTTTATTACATGTATAATTGATCGCAATCCATCAACATACTATTAATTTAAGGAGCCATACGTACTAAACAGGCAAAAATCTCACTTATAGTAGCTTTAAGTAAAACACCGTGCTATAGAAGTATTTTGCACCAATAATAGTATGGCAACAAGTATTTCAGAAGTGGTAAATCAATACTACGTATTTCCTATTGCTTATCATGTCACGCAAGACTAAAGTTGCATATTCAATTTGCTAATATACCAATTTAACTCTACTAAAATTGTGACGTTAAACTACATTTCTCTATCAAAATAATACGGTAATTAAGTAATATAAGAGATATAAATATTTTGCAAAAGATTAAAGAAGGTAGAAGAAGTTAAAAAGTTAGGAAGAATGGGGACGCAAATAATTCAATATAAACCATGATAGTATTCTTAATCTAATTCAATATCTTTTCTCATTTATACTAGAATAAGAATGAGTTAATGTTACGGTGGCAATTTGTAGTGGTAAATCATATAGTGTCGTGTCGATTTAAAAGTATTTTGTTAAATAGGTCAATTTGAATATGATTTATTTAATAATCGTGTTAGGAACCCTTGATGCAAACACGATTCATTTATTAAACTACTTTCACGAGTAACCTATTTAACCCATTTAATTTAAATAAGTCATGTACCGATTATAAAATTGAGTATAAAAAATAAAAATATAATGAAAAATTGAGATAATAGAAAACAAAATTCATGAAAATAAGAATAATTTGGATAATACAATTACAAAAAAGCCCAAATACAATAGCCATATTGAATTTAGGGTAAAGTACAACAACACTCATTTAGGTTTGTTAAAAGGACACTTAGATGAAAGTTACTTGTTTTTGGGACAACGACACCCCCTTGAAGAAATTACATCCAAACAAGGACTTAAATCATATAAAAAAACAAAATTGTTCCTTAATATTAAATTCGAATTTATTGCAAAATATCTGACCTGTCAAAATAACGTAATTGTCCCTGAAAGTTTAGGGCCACAAATTAACGCCACTTGGCGCCAAATTAGCAACCCATGAATTGCAAAATATCAGACCTATTTTTTTTTTTTTACCAAAATTTTGTTCTTGTTTTATTTACTATATTATCTATTAATTTACAAAAAAAAATATGGGTTTTTTTTTTTTAACAAAAATTTCATTCATGTTTTCTTTACTAAAATGGGTTTTTCTTTACAAAAAAATATTGTAAGAAAATATGGGGTTTTCTTTTTGCAGTTTTATAAATATGGGGTTTTTTTTACAAGAAAATTTTGTTCTTGTTTTCTTTACTAATATGTGATTTTCTTTGTTCCTTTTTTTTTTTACCAAAATTTTGTTATTTTGAGAAATTGTGGCAGAATGAAATTAAATTTTTTTTTTTAACAAATGGGGATTATCAATTTTGTTGTTACCATAAAAACAAAATGAAAAATAACTAACATAGTGAATCCAGTGTGGGCTACGAAGCGAAGTAACACCCAATAACATCAATTAGCTCTTGAAAGACATCATTCGGAAGTTGGATAACCCATCCATAATCTCTCACAAATTTTTTAAGGCAAAATTGAAGAATATTGATGGATATAAGTAGCATCCATAGACACCCTTTTAGATTGGTCAAACTTTCTTTTTTTTTTTGTAAGAAATTAAAAATTTATTACAGCAAAATAAATATGCAATTTTGTTATCAATTTTGTTATTTTGAGAAATTGTGGGTTATCAATTTTGTTGCTTTGAGAAATTGTAGCATAATGAAAACAAATGTTTTTTTTTTTTTTTTTTTTTTTTTTTACTAAAAATTTTATATTCCTAACATTGTGGGAGTGGTTTCATCCCATTTATTTGTAAAGTTAAAAAGATCAACTAAAGGATTAAAGGACAATTTAGTTAATTTTTTTTTAATGCAAGTCGGCTTCAAAGAATGTCTTTGTCCTTTTGGCAAGGCTGTAAACCTTGAATTTATATTAAAATAATAAAAATGTCCATAATAATTATTAGGTTATTGCATAACCCGCTATTTACAAAAACTATCAATCGGGCTCTGGAAACCCCAAAAAGAAATAAAGCAACGGATAAAAGCAATTAAACAAGTAAGGAAGTAAAATTGAATCTGGTGAGCTCCAACTGCTATGAATATATCATCTATATATTATTAATCTGTTGTTGATCGGAGAAGATATATTAGGGATTTGTATCCAGAAATTGTTCCTGGATAGGTTATTAGGGATTTGTATCCAGAAATTGTTCCTGGATAGGTTTGATTAGTGTCAAAGTGTACCTACATACTATATCACAGTAAAGTACTAAAGTGTGAATAGATCGATATGGTTGAAATGGAGTTTCTTGGGATGAACTTCAGTTGTGTGTTTGGAGCTCTCAGCAACGGCAAGTTTCCGGACAAAGATTGTTTGCTTCCTCTCGTATCCAAGCTTCTCGGCTACTGTATCGTTGCTGCTTCCACCACCGTCAAAGTCCCTCAGGTATCCATTTGTTTCTTCTTCAAATTCTATAATTCTTCCTACTAAGATTGTTGTTATTATTGAATTAGTGCACGGACTGGCGATCGCAATTTGTCTGGTATTATGATTTTAGAAACCTACCCATTTTAGATCAAAGGGTTTGACCCATCTTAACTTAGACTTGTAAATGCGCCTACTTTTGGTGATCTTTTGTATTTTGCCCTAATTTAGGATTACTACATTAATTCTTTTTTTTCAGTGCAAATGCGTAAGTTTAGGTATAACCCATTAGTCTTCCAAAGAGAATGGATTTAAAGTAATTATTATCCGTAATTTATATGATTGAATTATTTAAAGGTTCTAGGAATTAAAATCAGCTTGTCAATGACTAATTGCATTATCTATTGGGGACCAGCACACCTAAATACTTTAAAAATTGGACAGCCTTAAGCCTGAGATGCTAACTTGGGTTTATGAATTATGATGCTTCTTTAATACATAATATTATCCATAAACTAAAAGATAAAGTTTGTCAATGTAAATGAATGGAAGGCATATTCCTTCCCACTCTCCGACCAATCCTAGGTAAATATAAACATCTGTCTCAGATGTGGATGGTGATAATGGAGGAGGGCATTGGAAATATAGATGGAAACTCTCGATTTACATTTAACACTTGATATGTGTGTATATATATTTTTCATGTACACTTGTGAGTAAAACGCCTCATAATAGATTCTCATTGGCTTTAATGATTGTTTCTCATAGTTTTGGTTCCATGGGTGTTTGTCTTAAATTGGTTCAGTTCCTGATTATAGGATCCACACTGTAGGAAAATGGAATTCAGCAACGGAGTTATGTATTTATTTATTTTTTGATAAGTGAATTCCGCAACTGAGTTATTATATTTATAGAAAGTGAGTATCTTGTTATTTTTTAATTCCTAGATATTATATTAATCATACGTATACATTACATCTGGAGTAGTGTTTGTTTGATACCTTCTCTCTCTATTTTTCACTCTCTACTTTTGGTTAGGAGTTGGTTATAGTTTCCGGCCAACATCAAAAAGAGGTCTCAACGAGCCTGAAGCGCAGGGAAGATATACCGATTAGTCCCATCCAATACTGCTTTAATAAGTCCTCAGTGTTAAAACAAACAATAGAAGTTCTAGATAGGTCAAACCCCTCAAGAGGGCTATATAGTTCCTTAAAGCTCAAGGAAATAGCTGTTGAATCGGTTTTGTTCCATAATCAGACGAGGAAGGCTTCCACCTCGATCAACCCACTGCAGCCGATGCCTCACCCCTGAATTCAACAGCCAGCCCGGCCCCCGGTTTGGCAGGAATAGGCGTAGCAGCCCTATCCTTTTGTTCCATCAGTCCGAAGGTGGAAAGGTGTTCGGTCCTAGAACCCCCTAAGGGGTCGGTTTGAGGTCCCTTTCTCCTCCCCTGGATGCCTAACAGACTGGTTGAAGTGGCAGCCCCATCTCTAAAAACACCCGTACCCCGACTGAACACACTATTAAGAAATGCCTTAGCAACATACACCGTTAAATACTCGCTGGCGCGGGAAGGGAAGCAACAGGCAACACACTAAGTACGACACCACTCTTGCAAAGAGACGCACAAGGAGTACAGAAGTTAAACTCATATTATGGTAAGAAAGATCAGAGAATGAATTAGATAGAGTAGAGTAAAGATGTAACACAAATTACACATGTCTGAGAACGAACTAGGACAGGAGGTTGAGACTTATAGAAAGCTCTACTACTTTTCTGTCAATCTCTATGAAGTTTCTGTAAATTTCAATCAGTTCGATTGCATTTCTGCTCTCTAGTGGTATTCTGAGGATATTTTTGCTATTCTTTGACTATTTGGGCAGTCCTCCACACATCTCTAACTTTGGGCAGCACTGAACAACCACCCCAAGCATTAATCAAGCCCATCGTTGACTCTGGCAAGACCCATTGGATCCCAAAGATGGCACACAACATGTCCCATTTGTCTCTAGCTCTGGGACAATGTAAAAGGAGATGGTCCACCGATTTCTCATTCCTCGTACACGTAAAACACCAATTGACTATAATCTGACGCCTCCTCCTAAGGTTGTCAATCGTCAAGATCTTCCCCAGAACAGTTGTACAACCAAAAAAGGCCACCTTCAGAGGGGCCTCAAAGCCCCAAATTTCTTTCCACAGAAAGGAAATCCCCTGAGCCACCAAAAGATGGCAATAAAAAGATTGCACCTCAAACCTCCCGTTACTCGTGCCCGTCCAGATTGACGCTCAATCAGATAAAGTGAAGAGGTCTTTTTAGTTTTTTATTTTCTAGCAGATTAAAAGGATTTGTTTACCTCTTGTTGAGAAAGTCCGAGCAACTTCTATAAAAGGCACTGCTATGTTTAGAACCTCTCAGAAGTTAAGGACGCTGAAACCTCTGTTGAAGCTATTTAATAAAAGAGAGTTCTATTATACTTATCAAAAATAAAAATAAAAGAGAGTTCTATTATATCTCTGCTGCAGTTGATAAGGTTAGGGTCAGATTTGCTTGAATTGCAGCACCAGCTTGATAAGCACCCTTTATCTTCTGAAGTCTTAAGTAGAGAGAAGGAATTGTTGAAGGAATTTCATGAGAAATCACAAGTGGAAGAGAGTCTTCTTAGACAAAAATCTAGAATTCAGTGGCTGAACTTAGGAGATCAAAATTCTAAGTTTTTCTTTATAGCTATGAATCAAAGAAGAACCATCACTAACATTGGCTCTATTTCTCAGGAAGATGGTACTATATTAACTGATATATATGCTGTTAAGAGTGAGATTCTGGGATTATGATTCTATCATAATATGTTGGGGAGGATATGAATTCAGACGTTACAGGGCTTTAAGATCTTAATGTGCAGCAAATTTTTGACAGCCATAGGCAAACTCTAGCTGCTCGTGTAACCCCTGGGGAAGTTAGATCTGTATTATTTTCATTGAAGGATGGTAAAGCTCCACGTCCAAATGGGTTTAATGCCTTGTTCTTTAAGAGGACATGGCACATCGTTGTTGGTTCAGAAGTTAAAAGGCTATTCTGTCATTCTTTTTTGCTGGTACGATAATGACAGAATGGAATGCAAATGCCATTACACTGGTTCCAAAGAATTTATTGCAAAAATTATTGCTAATAGAATCAAAGGAGTCCTTTCTGCTTGCATTTTTAGCACTCTGGCAGCTTTCGTACCTGTTAGAACCATTTCTGACTGACATCTTTGTGGCTGAAGAATTGTTGATACAATAGGCTGGCAGTTTATCTTAAAGACTCTCTCAGTGATGGGTTTTCCACAATAGGTCATTAGCTAGATCAGTGTTTGCTTGTCATCTGTTAAGTTTTCAGCTCTCAGAAATGATGGGGAGTTGAATGGTTATTTTGCAATCAAAAGGGGCTTAAGGCACCCTATGTCACCTTATTTGTTTGTCCATGCAATGGAAGTGCTATCTTGTTTAATGGATAAGGAAATTGAACAAGCTAAATTCTATTATGACTGGATATGCAGCAAGATGAAGATTACTCACTTAAAGTTTGCAGATGACTTGTTAGTTCTGTCAGCTGGAAGAATGGAATACTATACTGATTATTCAGAGAATTTTAGGAAAATTCAGCTCTTGGTCAGGTCTGATTCCAAATGCAGATAAAAGTTTTTCTTTTTTCTTTTTCTTTTTTTTAAAAAGAAGTTACTGAGGATGTCAAGGCTCAAATCTTAAGTATTCTGCAGTTTGCTGAGGCTAAACTCCCTGTTATACCTTGGTGTACCTTTAATTTCTTTTAGCCTGAAAGCTACTAAAAGTAAGGTGTTGATTGAAAGACTGACTAAGAAAGTTCACTCTGTGATAAATAAAGTCCTTATTTTTGCAGGACGTTCAGTTGACAAATATAGTCCTTTTTTTTATTCAGGTCTATTGGTCCTCTTTATTCATTCTTCCATAGTGGATCATTGATGACATTAACCAGATCTTGAGGCAATTCTTATGGAAAGGTCCAATTCTGGGACAAGGTGGTTGTAAGGTGGCTTGGGAGGAAGTTTGTGTGCCTAAAGTGGAAGGTGGTCTATGTGTAAAGCATTTACTGGCCTAGAATAAGGCTACTGTGCTGAAGCATCTTTGGAGGTTAATACAGCCTTGCTCAGATTATCTTTGGGTTGTATGTTTGATTAAGCAAAGTAATATTTGGCAGCTCAAGGTTCCAGGTGACTGCTCTTGGGTATGGAGGAGAATTTTGAAACTTAGAAGCCTCGTGTCAGATATAAAATAGGTAATGGCCTGGACACTAATCTGTGGTTTGGTTTGTGGCTTCTGTTGAAGGATTTATATATTTAGTAATGGTTGTTAACATGGTATCAAAGCCAAAGGTCTTGAGTTCAAACCTCAACATCACCCTAATTAAAATTGAAACACGTGTTGGACCAAAAGAAGGCCACACGAGAGGGGGTGTGTTGAAGGATTTATATATTTAAGTTACACCCTCTCCAACAGCTTAAGCTTTTGGAGTAGACGGTTGTTAACAGCTTCCTAGTGGTCCTATTGTGGCTTCAAGGGGTGAAAGTATTTTTCATGACTATGGTTTAGGAATGGCAACCAAAGTTGCATTATGAATGGAAGTTGGTATTGGGCCTCCATTGATTCTGAAACCTTGGTGGACTTGCAGCAGGAAGCTAGAATGATTTGTCCAGATGTATCTACTGTTTACAAAGTCATTTGGAAAGGAGTCTCTGATAAGTTTGTTAATCAGTCTGTCTTTTATGAAATCAGACCTTCTAAGCCTAGATTTTCTTGGGTATCTGCTGTGTGGTTTACATAGTATGTGCCAAAATTTTCCTTCTTTTTGTGGTTGGCTGTTAGAGGCAGATTGCATACTTAGGGCACGTTGCAATCTATTGGGTTACTTAAATCAGTTAGCTGTATACTGCATAGCTGATTGTGAATATCATTGCCATTTATTTTTTAATTGTCCATCCTTAAATCAGATATGGTCCTTTATTGCGGGAAATTAACTGGATCATTGCCTTCTCATCTGAGTGTTATTGTGTCTTGGGTCAGCTCTAATCTGAAAGGGTCTAAATTCGCAAGCATGGTCAGTAAACTAGTCTTATCTGGTATTATGTACTATATTTGGCTGGAGAGGAATTCGAGATTGTATGAGAACAAGTATGAGGATTCGAGATCTTTGCAGTTGGAAATCTTCAACTCTGTTAGGTTTAAATTACTTGGCCTAAAATCTATTAAACCTTCTGCAATTAATCTCTGGCTTCGTCATTCTTGGCAAGTTCAGAAAGATAGCCTCTGAGATCCCTTTAGTTCTCTGAATCTAGTAATATTCTCTGGAATGGGATTCTGCTCAAATCTATTTCTCCTTGCCGCATGATTTTCAGACTTCGTCACAAAACAAAAACAAAAAAACCTGTTGTGAGAAGGCTTCTTTTTGAAAGCTACTCTTTCTGCCTTGTTATTGTGTTTGTTGTTCTTTTCAGATCCTCTCTTTTTTTTTTTCTTTTTTTTTTTTTGTAATATTGGTTATACTGTTGGTTGGTTCCTGTTATTGGGTAAGGAGGGTGGGGATCAGTTTGTTGGTTCTGTGTGCATGGGTAGTTTATCTAGGAGTAGTTTTGTTTAGCTGGCTCATGTTGTTTGTATTGTTGCTTGGGAGGTATGCATTGGTTTCTCTTTGTATGCATTGCTTCTTTCAATAAATTTATCTTACACATATAAAAAATTAGTTGTTTTTTTTTTTTTTTTTTTGATAAGTAAGAATTTTATAAAAAAGCGCTCAAAGGGGAGCGAAACCCAAGGATACAAGAAGAAAAAACCAAAAAGGCCTCAAGCCTTCAAAGAGGCCAAAAACATAACAATCTCCTCAACAGAACGATAATCTCTCCCTGAGACCCAACAAAAGAGAGTAGAAATAATAGAAAACTTAAGCATAGAAATGGGTTTCTCCTTGCCATCAAAGTATCTTCGATTCCTCTCGAGCCAAATGCACCACCAAACACAGAGAGGGGTAGCCCTCAAGCATCCCGGATGAGTGCCCCAACAGAGACACCTCTCCAAGCCTCAATCAACCCTCTAGAGGAAAATTAGTTGTTCAAACAAAAACTTGAAAGAAAAAAGAGTTAGGGCAGATCTCCTCTTCCTCAATGAGAGAGAGAGAGAGAGAGAGAGGAAAAAGAAATTGTCATCAATTATTTTGTCTATTATACAGATGAGAATGTGGCAGGGGTTTGTGTGTCTGATATCAACATGTATCTAAGCATCAGACTTGTCAAATCCTCAAACCCAAGGACACGGGAAATTCTCAGCACCATTTTTATTTCACTCTCTTTTTTTCTTTTTAAGTAAAAGGAACATAATAAAATTGTTTTATGTATAATTACAGAATAAATTTGTATTATTGGATATGCTCGTTTGTTGCCTTTCCAGCCATACATGTCAAGCACATATCCCATACTTATGTCTCTGTGTCTTGTGCCCAACATGGGTAATTCATCTATTTTTAAGGAGTCCATGTAACACGTCATATGAGGGTGTATTGGTCTTTCAAACATTAACTTCTCAATCTTTTTTTTTTTTTTTGATAAGTAAAAATATATTAGAAAAACGTTCAAAAGGGGAACGCATCCCTAATACAAGAGAAAAAATCTAAGGACCAATAGAATCCAAGAGATCAAAGAAATCATCAGTCGAGGAGCATGTACTTCCTCTAACATAAAAGAATAAAGAACGAAGAATATGAATTTTTAAATTAGCTAAGGACGATTCTTTTCCTTCAAAGGATCTGTTATTTCTCTCACGCCACAAACACCACCAGACACAATGAGGAACAATCTTCCAATAAGCACGAGCTTGTTTCTTAACAGGACAGCTTCTCCAAGCGTTAATCAATTGAGAGGAGTGCTTAGGCATTACCCAAAAAATACCGAAAATGCTGAAAATAAAACTCCAACAACCAAACGCCACAGGACAATGCAAAAGAATGTGATCCACGGATTCACTATCATCTTTGCATAAACAACACCAATTAACAATGATGTTGCCTCTCTTTCTCAAATTGTCCAAAGTCAAAATCTTCCCCAATGTAGCTGTCCAAACGAAGAACGCGATTCGAAGAGGGGCTTTAGAGCACCACACGGACTTCCAAGGAAACTCGGAACCAACGAAATTGGATAAATGAATAAACATAGAGCGGACATCATACCGACCATGAGCCAAAGGAACCCACAAAATATCATCACACCCTCTGCCAATATCCTTCTGCCTATACAAAATATCCAAAAAAACAGAAACTTCCTCCATTTCCCAATCCTGAATCTCTTCATGAATAAAGGGTTCTGGTCCTCTGGATTACTGCATTCTCTGGTACGTAAAACTACTCAATAAATGTCTGCCTTACTTTTATATGCGATTGGATACAAAGAATGACCGAGTGGTTTAAATTGCAGAAATGATGACCTTACTTTTAACAATAAATAAGGTTTAGTTCCCTTATTATGTCCTTATTGTTGATTATCTCACAGGAATGTGCTTCTTGCACCTAGGACATGGTAAATGTTTGCTTGAAATTATGATTTGCGTGTTCAGTAGCATCTCTAATTTGATCAATTTGTTCTTCATTTGCAGATATTAAAAGTTTTGCAACACAAAAGTGTCAGAGGGCTTAGTGTTGTGGGCTTCGAACTCGAAGTAGTTGGTTATACTATTGCATTAGCATATTGTCTTCACAAAGGGCTACCATTTTCAGCCTACGGGGAGTTGTTATTTCTATTGATCCAAGGTCTAGTCCGTAACACCTTCTTATATTTGCTTACTGGTAATGATGTACCATATTGATGGAAAATGCACATGATAATGTCACTAATGTGAGCCAAGCCTTCTCTCCAATTCTTTTTTCTCCTAATAGTTTTTTTTCAGAAATTACCTGCCATCCATTTCAAATGGGCACCACATTAGATTGGTGACTTCCATCTTACTTCATGTTTGTGTTTCTTCTGAAATAAATTGTAAGATGAAGGACTTGTCTTTTGTTCCAATGTCAGTGAAAAAGCCTTTCTAAGTCATGAATAAGAAATGAGATGGAAGGAGACAGTGTCAGAAATCAAACATAATAAATTGGGTACTCTTGTTTTTTACTATTTATCCATTTGGTACTCTAAGGGTAAAGATAAATTGGGAGGGGCGACTCATGTTATGAATTGGGTGATTATTTTCTTCTGTTCAGGTTATCAATTCATTGTTCCTGGATGTTACAATGTTGGGGTTGGTTATGGATTATACAATGAACAGAAATTGTGCGAAGCTATATAACTTGGACCTCGATTTTGTGCATTGAAATTGACAACTTGAATTCAAATGACCAGAATTTGACCCCCTTTCTTGACAGGCTTAATTTCACTTAACCCCCTATACTATTTTTTTGTGGCAAATAACTCCCCTGAACTATGGTTTTGGCGGATAACCACCTAATTCATCAAATAGACTGCACTTTACTCCCTCGCCCTTAGTTGTCTGTTATATAAGGTGGTAAATTGACTTTATTGCTTTTAATAAAAATATGTTATTGAATGGAAAATATATCAATTACAAAATTGCCTAAAAATCGTTGTGTCCGATGTTATAATTTTGTAATTGATATGTTTTCTATTCAATAACATCTTTCTCTTTAAAATGGTCGATATGGTTATTTTACCACCTTATTTAATACTGACAACTAAAAGTAAGTGGGTAAGGTGCAAATTTTTTGATAGATTATCTGCCAAAATCATAGTTTAGGGGAGTTATGCGCCACAAAAAGGGTAGTACAGGGGGGTTAAGTGCAATTAAGCCTTCTTTAAATGATGTTATACATATATCGGGTTTATTTGGATGGCCTGATCAATGAGTAATGACCTTTTTATGTCTGTAATATACAATAATATGTATTCTCTGAATTCATTTGCATAATCATGCAGCTCTGAAACACCACCATTTTTAAATATGAAATGACCTAGATTTTTTGAAGAAAAATAGATAATAGCTGTCTTTGTATTGCAAATTCTATCTCCGTGATATTATATTGTATTTCTGAACGTTTTCTTGATATGGCAATCTCAAGGGATCTAATATACTTCTTTTCCTTGTCTTTTACAGCTATAATATTAGTTGCAGTTATCTACTATTTTTCTCAACCTTTGGGAACCAAGACATGGATTAAGGCATTGCTGTATCCTACTTGCTTTCTGAAACCGATCATTATTTGCATTATTATTATTTTTTTTCCTAGTTGATACTCACACACACATGCCTCCACTGAGGCTCGAACCCCTGACCTCTCTTTGAGAAGTAAGGGCCTGATACCGCTAGGCCACTGGCCTGTTGGTTATAATATTAGTTGCAATTATCTACTATTTTTCTCAACCTGTGGGAACCAAGACATGGAAAACGAATTGTTCCTTCCGCTGCCGGGGTCTTATTGATAGGTGGTTGATTTTATCAGAGTATACTATATATATATATATATATATATATATATATATATATTGATAGGTGGTTGATTTTATCAGAGTATACTATATATATATATATATATATATATATATATATATATATATATATAGTATACTCTGATAACTGCTGTCCTTTGTTTATTTGGTAGTATTTTCTATGGTAGAATAAGAATATAGTTTGTGTTTCCTTACTAATTTGTTGCAGATATTGTGCTGTGGCACCCACCATCTTAGCTGGTCAAATTGATCCCATTCTCTTTGAAACTTTATATGTGAGTAAATATGCTATTTCTTTGCTTTACTTTTCAAAAAAAAAAAAGACAATATGCTATTTCAGACAGCAACTACATTTTTTGCTAGTTTCCTCTCAGTTCTCACTTGTCTCCCCACTTCTCTCGTCCTAGTTAATTATATGCATATGATTCTCATCAACAAATTATTTAAATTTTCTTGTCTGTTTTAATTTTCAAGCAATTAATTTCTTCAGCTAAGTTAGAATTCCCAGCTTGTCTGAATCTGACATTTTTCATTGTGGGGAAATAAATTTATTTCAGGCATCTCAGCATGCAATTTTCTTCTTTGCCAGGGTCCCACAAATTTGGCAAAATTATACTGTAAGTTAACACTTGATGGTTTCCTTTCTTATTCTTTTTTCCCTGTGTTGTTTGTTTCTTCTGGATGGAAGGAACAAGAAGACTTTATTCTGTTTAAGGTCTTAATCACTTTACTGTTCAACTTATGCAGTTAAGTTCACTCGAACAAAAAGTACCAACCTTTGTATTTTATAAAACAGAAGGCATGCACTACTCCATTTTGGTGTCCCCATTTATCATATCCTTCCCTTCCTCTTTCCCCCTTAATGGCTCTTGATTTCTGAGATTCAGGACCTAACGTTAATCAGTCGTAACTCCTTGAAATTTCTTTTCGGGGTTGTATAAGAAGCTCAAATATTCCACCACAGAAATTTCTTAGATTAAGCACACCAACCTCACCATCTTACTTTATATTTCTTGTCCCTAGTCAAGCCAACCTATGGTCTCTAGATTCTTTGCAGTTGCGGATCCGAGATGTTTTGTATGGGGATGGAGGGGGGGACCCTAAATATTTTTGAAGGACCTATGTGGAAGTGATATGAAATCATTTGGTGAAAGAATGGAAAAATCAGGACTTTCAGCCATAAGGTAGGTCTGCCTTCAGTCATGATCATGTTTTTTACAAGGAAAATGATAAATGAACCGATTAAACACACCGGTTTATTAAACCGACAGCCATGGAAAGCAAATGTGGCTAGCCACGTGATAAAGCAAAAGACTTGCAATTTTCTAACCATTTGTCTGTCTTCTCTTATGTTTATCCTTGTGTCACTTTCCAATGATTCACTCTTACCTCAAACCTGAAACTTCTGTCTTTCTAGCCCTCCCACCTTTGATCAAATCCTATGCCATCCCCTTGTTGACATTACTGCTGCTTTGCCTTCTAGAACTTCAACTCCAACCACACTTCTGACCTACGCTCTCTCCCTCATATGATGATCAATTTCAAATCCTCTCTCAAATGAAACTCAGACTTCCTTACTTACCCATTTTCAAACCCTTAACACGATATTTTGAAAAAAATTGTGAGGAATGGTCTTTTACTGTTTTTGAAGCTTCAATTTGTTAACGGTGGTGGGAGATATATCACTCTAACTCAACACATATGTCTCTTTTTACATATTTTAACATATACATATATACACAGACACACACACACATGTATAGAAATGCCTCTTAGTTTGCATAGATTGTGTTTGCTCCCCATGAATTTGATCTGTACATGTCTTATTAATTTCCAAGGAAGCATGAGTTTAAAGATGTGACTATAGCTAGACGAAATGGAAAAATATGCAATCATTAACGTCAACAAAATCTTTAATCGGTAAACCTGATCTTCTATAGCATATTTTTTTTAATTGTATTCAATGATATAAAACAGAGATCGATTAGATAACTGAACATGTGTATCCCTCTATGCACGTAAGCTAATTAAGTGGGAGCCATTTCCAAGCATCACTGCTGTTAGCCTGACTGAAACTCAATTTGAGAATAAAAAGATGACCCACACAAAAAATCATCAATATTTGCTACCAATAAAGAGTTATTCCTTAGAACCGGAATTGATTTTCGATGAGAAAATGAATCACAATGAAATCAAGTGGTTCGAGTCATCACCATCGCTGAAGTTGAATAACTCATGCAAGGATGAAAAAATAATGGTGTTAGTGACAACATTGAGCAGCCAGCGGTGAACAATCTCTTCTTGCAGAAGAATGGGCAAGATTACACAATAGAGGGACTCAGTGCATGGAGTCGGCTTAGTTGCTCGGTCTAAATAGCACTACTCTTTTTACAAATTTGAACCCTTCATCTTTGTTGAGTCGCACTCAAATGATCGATACAGATCATTTTCCTGTACTGAACTCGAACTTATTTGAATGTTTGCATTACATTTAGAAGAAGTAGTGAATGGGCGAAATTCATAAGAACTCAATGCCTGGTAGGTAAGACTTAACATGACACCAAAATGAAAAGTATATAGTGATTCAGGCTCAAGTGATCCCATCACAGGTTCAATTAATACTTAATGCACAATGCTAGTGATATGACATGAGAGAGCTGAAGTGAAAGCATCGGTGACTCCAGTATGGATCATATCTGCGCATCTGTTCATATTTAGTGATATCAAATATTGTTAAATTATTTAGGTTAATCACTTCCATCCAGTTACCTAACCTGTCAATCTATATTTTATATGTTTTGTTTGCTATTTTTTTACTACCTACGAGGACTTGACTTCTGCTATTAAGGTTGAAAGTCTATCTGGATATGACTTGCCTTACCAGGCTGATGTAGTGTCAATCCCTTTATAAATGATATCATAATAAATAACAATTTATCTAAGATCATATCTAATACTCCCATCCCCCCAGTTGGTACTCACACCCACCTCAGAATTGTTTGCACCCAAGAGAAGTCAAACCTTTGACCTGATGCTTTATGAGTCACCAGGGCTAAGTGACTTACCCACTTGAGCCAACCCCTTGGGGTTTAATGTATTTTTTTTTTCTTTTGATTATTTAGCTAAAAAAATAATAGTTATTCTAGATTTGTTCTTTATGATTGTTCAATATCCATTAAATGATGGAACCCATTTATTCTCTTTGTTGACTTGACACTACTGTATGTGAAACTGTATGAACTCAATAGGTTGAAATCTATGCTAGTATTTCTTAATAATTGCATACATAATGTGAATAGATCCATTCGCCTTTTATGTAGCATTTGAAAGACATTTGCTTGTTTCCTATAAGAAATTATGTACTCTCTTTCAGAATTATCTCAAGAACTTTTATGCATTTAAATTAGCTATTATTTTTATGCTTAAAATGACTTTCTATTCTTTGAGCAGAACAAAAGTACAGGGGAGCTCAGCTTTTTAACCTGCTTAATGAATTTCGGAGGTTCCACAGGTGAGTTCACATTATTTATTGCATCAGTGCAGGGCACGGTTTTGTATGTCTGGGGAGAAGTCATAAAATATTTATTTTTGTATTGCAGTAAGAGTCTTCACCAGCATCCAGGAAAAAGCTCCAACAAGTGGTATCCTTGTTTTGAAATCTTAATGGAGCCTAAATTTTCGTATACTTATTATGTCTGGAATTATGTGAACCTTCTTCCAAGCAGAGCTTGTCTTTTCTAATCCTAAAACGTACTTATTATTTAAGATATATTACACTAGCATCCCTTCTTTTAGCCTAGTTACAGGTAGACCCTCTTTACTTTGACAAATGACACTGAACTCCCCTTCTCTAACAATCTTCCGAAGAGTCTGAGAACAAAGACAACCTTTCTGTGATTGTATTGGAAATAGGCCCTCTTTACTTTGACAATTGACACTGAACTCCCCTAGGGCAGTCATTAAGAAATTCAATATCACAATGGCTACACTAGGCTCGAGCTCCATCACTACCAGAGTCATATATCCCACATTGACTACAACAACAACCATTTCCAGCAACCCTCTCATAACTATCACCATACCAAAGTCTCTCTCTCTCTCTCGTGCTCGCGCGCTCGTGCACGCATGTCTTTGTATGTGTTTTCTACCAAACCTTCCTGTGTGCACGCGTGCGCTCGTGCTCACGTGTCTTTGTATGTGTTTTCTACCAAACCTACCACCTGAAAACACCACCAGCAACTACCATAGTATAACGGGCCGGGCGATTGCCATTCAATCCAAAAGCTCAAGTTGTTTGGTGGTGCTACCTACCCGCCCTTATAAGCCCAAATTTCTCCCCAACCTGATCCAATGTGGGACAAGACCCATGTGACATTCTCCTGTACCCGAACTCACAACGCCCTCATTGCAATTGGACCACCCTACCTACCCGTCCACCCTAATAGTGAGAGGACTGAGTAACGACTTGAAAACCTCCGTGTGGCCACTTGGTGTGGCGCCAAATAAGGGACTGGGTCTGCTTTGATACCACTTCTAACAAGATGGGTGCTTGCCATCAAACCCAAAAGTTTAAGCTATTAGTTAGTGCTGCCTGCAGGCCCTTATAAGTCCAAAACTCTCCCTAACTTGATTTGATGTGGGACAAAACCCCTGTGATACATAGCCGCCATGTCAACCTCCACTGTGAACCATAAATTCTAGCTCCATTGACTCAAACTCCAACCCCCCATCTGATTAACAATAAATGATCCACCAGCTTCCAAGCCACGTTTATCCATGATTTCAACAATACCACTTCCACCCTTGCGACTCCCCTGGTAGATCACCTAATTCAATTTATCATGTTTAGTTCCCAACCTTGTTACTAAATTCAATTATTCCATCCGTAGTTATGATCAAAATTCAAGTGCACCGCCTAATTGATTTTACATATTAGATGATGAAAAATAATTGATGTATGAGATCATTGATTCTATTAATTTTTTATGATGTTATCTGCAAGTATTGTAATTTAATGTTTTGCCACACACCATTACTACCTCGAAAATAATCAAATATAGAGATGATGAAGTTTTGGTTTGGTTGGGGAAATGGTTTAATGGTCATTTGTGGTGGAAAATAGTTGGTATGAAGGTGGCGGCTTTGTGGGAGTGAGTTGAAGGTCATGGAGGTCGCTTTGGTGGCATGACTCATGAGTTGACGGTCACGGAGATCAGGTGAGTTTTTAGGGATGAAAAAACTCTGATTCAGAAACACACACACAAATACTTTGATTTGGATTATATATACGTATATTTTATATATATATATATATATATATATATATATATATATATTGATAGTTGTAGAATTTCTTAATTCAAATTCTTCTTAAGATAGGCGTAGCAATGGAATGCGGAAATATTTATGTATGTATATAGAGATACACACGCACACACCAAGAGATGGTTGTGGAGGCTGTGGTTATAGCTAGTTATGATTATGGATTTTCAGGTACAATGATCAGATGGTGGTTCATATGGGCATATGCATGGTTTGGGGGTTTGGATCAGAGTGGTTGGTAGTGGTGGAGAAGGTAGAGGCAAACAATGATGATGGTGTTTGGTTGAATGATTGAGATGCATTGGGCATTGAATTTAGTTAGAGGGAGAAAGAGATGAGAAAAGATAAGGTGACAGATCAACATCTAAAATGTATGGTGGTGAATATTGGTTTTGGCGGTAATCAGTGTAAGCTTAAATTTGATGTTTAGAGAATATCACATCCCCAATTTGGAATAGCTTAATGGGAAGGGGATAACTGTTTACACGTCAATAAATATCCATAAAGATCTGCTTGTTATGATGCTTTCATTTCCTCAAGGCTCCCCTTTTTTGTTGGCTCTGTTCCCCCCATCCAAAAAAAAAAAATTCTTTATCGCTAACTAATAAATCTATTTAGCAGAGAAAATATAACAGTGGAATTTTTAGTGTTGATATGCATTGCGAGGCACAACTTGTATAGGAAAAAGGCCAAGGGGACATTATAAGGACATCGATGCAAATAGCCTGATACAGGAGAGAACTGAAACAAAGTCCGTGTACCTTTGTAAATAAGGTTTAGTCTTTTGAGTTTAGTGTGTGGTAATAAAGGCCATTCAATACTCTTTTAAATTTTAATTGTGTATTGTATTTTTTTATTTTATTTATTTTTGGTAAAATAAACGTGCTGGCCACCTAGCCTCTTAACACAGCTCTCTCCTGACCCAATTATGTGCAGCTCCCTCTATATTTATGTTTTCTTGAGCTGTATAAATGGGGCCATTGCGTGATGGAATGGTAAAAGCTCTGAAAATGCTAATTCAAAACATTAAGTCTGTTTTCAATTCAAAACAATCCATGATTATAATTAGAATTGTACAAGTTCAGGTTCCATTTTTATTATGCAACTGTTTGACATCCTTAATTTGTTTGAAGTTGTTATGGGATCGGCACTTGGTATTGTGTTGAACGGTACCATATTGAGTCAGATAATCTTATACCAGAAGCCCCGTGATAAGAAAGGTGATAAAAAGGAGTAGGAGAGCGAGGATATGGCTCAGGAGTTCCCTCTTCAACTCACTGTTAAGTGTGTGCTGCAAACATATCGGATTCCCAAGGTCATATCCTATTCTATGACGATCTTCCAAGATGAAATTTAGCATTTTGTATTGCATGAACATCAGTTCGCCTTTCTCTGGTTCAAACTCCCATGTTCGCAGTCAACATATCATTTGCTTATATGGATTTATGTTTCTTGGATGAATTTTTCTCTCAAGTAGATGTCACATATTGGAATGATGTTCATTTTTATACAACTATAATGAATGAGAAACAAATCAGCACTGAAATTCTCGAAGGCGGATCTAACTTTATTATCGAATTGAAATTCACAAGTGTTTGAAGGTAATATTTTTTGATTTAGAATCTTGTAATCTTCATTGTTAGCTCTGGATTCCTTTTGCAATGAGTAGTTCCTTCTATAATACTTATTGATTACAAAATGCAACCCTTTTCTTGTTTTGTTTCTCCTATTTGGTGGAAGGATGGATGGCAAGGCTTTTAATGATGTTTGTCAAGATTTATTAATTATGTTGATAGGTATGAGCATGATAACTTTAATTGAAGTCATATATATGTTGATAGCTATGAGCATGATAACTTCAAAAACAATCAAGCACGTGTTTTTGGGTGAGCCGGGCATACCACAACATTGTTATTCCCATCTAATTAAAAATTAAAAAACCCCATTCTAGTTAGTTGAGGGAAGCTTTTATATTTGAGTGGAACCAATTTCCTTGAAATGTATATTTTGATCAGTTGGGCATGGTCGATTGTATTTTGTTTGGTTAGGGCACACTAATAACATGACATGACCTGTGACCTGACTTGTTCGGTTCATGCAATGTTTTCTCACACTACTACCACATATCTGATTTTTTACTTCAAACAAGGTTTCTCAAGGAAAAAAATAAAAAAAACAAGGTTTCTCATGGCTCATTTATAACCCAACCTAGGAAAAGCCAAGTACATAAGAAAACTTGTTTCGTGCATATCATGACATGTCCGACTCATTCAATATCTTCTCACACTATTCAAGACATGGTTGTCGATTCCATAATACTAGATTAAATAGCACACAACTAATCTAATTTTTACTGATTCAAAACAAGGCTTCCAAATGCATTTGGCTAATTTATTTACCCAGGTACATCGCCTTTCAAGGACACCTTCTAAGTAAGCTGTTAATTTATACGTATTTCTTTTTGTATTCTCAACTCTGGGCCTTAAAATTCAGATCTAGACAACATTACATAGCCCCAACTTGCTGAATCGTTTGTGTCACCATTCAAGAAGAGAGTTGACATTTCTAAATATGTATCACAAAGCGATGCAACATAAATGTTCCTCTGATTAATTTTCTTAAAATATTTCTTTTTACTAATGACTCAGCAGTAGGAAAAGCCTCCAACCACAGAAACACAGATATTTGGAAAATTGTCTCGTTGATCTCACTTGCATTTTCAAACTAGCCCGCACGGCCATCACATGACAAAAGCATACTTTTCTATGCAAATTGCCAATAAATCTATGGCTTCAAAGCACACCATTCACCAACATCATACAGACCTGATACTATGCCCCATTTGTTCAGCAAGTAGTCTTTTTATAGGGTATGTGAACTGAATAATTCCAAAAAGTTTACCATATAAGTGGATACAATCTAAGTCACATAAAACGGGAGCGAGAGCGAATTTGAGAGAACAGAAAAATTATGTCATAAATAGTGAAAATATGAGCGAAAGCGCGCGCGAAACTTGAGAACAAAAGTGTACTCGGAACGTGAGAACAACACCTGTTGAGAATGATTTGTGTGACCTGACTTCAGGCACACCATCCACCAACATCATAAAGACTTGATACCATGCCCCATTTGTTCAGTAAGTAGTCTTTTTACAAGGTTGGTGAACACAATAATTCCATAAAGTTCCCTGTACAAGTGGAGACAACTAATTTAGATATGACAATTATATAAACAATTTCCGTCCAAATATTTTGGAAAATGAACAAAATAAAAATAAAAATAAAAAAAATTTAAGAAAGTTTCAGCTAAGAAAACATTCATAAACCCGGCATTAAAGAAAGAAAAGTAAAATGTTTGTTCATTTCATGAACTTCTATTAACATAAATTAATCCATATATATATATATATATATAAGGATAAGGATCTGAACCAGAACTACTGTAGGTTTTATAATTTTCACACAAAAAGTAAAATGTTTGTTCATTTCATGAACTTCTATTAACATAAATTAATCCATATATATATATATATATATAAGGTTAAGGTTCTGAACCAGAACAACTGTAGGTTTTATAATTTTCACACAAAAAGGGAAGTGTAATAATAATTGAACGCCACCACCTGGAGAGCCTTTTTGCTTCAAATGCAAAATCAACAATTCTCCGAGCCTGTCTCTGACTCTCTATGGCCAAAGTAAATCTAAATCCTTCAGAGCTCACCGGTTCGGCAAATTTTTCCGACTGGAATGAGTGATAAATTCCCATGCAAGTGAAAGGGAAAAGGTCTGACGGATGTGGTATTCATATATTTACCATGAATTAAATTTGAGCAGATGCACATATCAGGTTTCATGCATCAGCAAGTATATAACATTCCAAAGAATCAAACTGATGGTATCTAAGGAGAGGGTACAATCATTGTTCTACGATGATGAAAATCCGGAGTCAAGCAGCAGCAGCATAAGAATTAACCGCATGAATAACCTCCGAACCAACAACAAAAGTGAAGAATACGTGGATGCGAAGGAAATTGGGGCAAAACACAAATTTTAAAAGTCAGGGCACAAGACAGCAAACGATGTAGTCAACCTGAAAAGAAGAGAAATATGCAAAAAAGGAAAGGATGAATGCAAATACCGGAATGTGGCATGCGTGAAACTTGTTATCCCTACCTCATTGTAGCTTTTTTCTTCCTTGCATGCAGTTATCTTCCATCATTTTGCATTTCCTTTACCCATTGAAGTTCACCAAGACACAGTATCCGAGGAAAGACGGACCAAACACAAAACAGACGAAAATTGGCGTTGCCTTGATTTAATATATGAACATAAATATATTAATAGACAACTGTCTTTTAAACAAGTAAAAACAGGATTTCAAATTTCACAAAAAGAATAGAATTTGTCAAATGTAAAAGGCACACACATGATGCTGTATGACAGTTAAATGGGGTTTTAAGATACAGATATTTGAAGATATATATATATATATATATAGAGAGAGAGAGAGAGAGAGAGAGAGAGAGAGAGAGAGAGATAGATAGAGATAGAGAGAGCGCAGAGAATGCTTACAAGGAAGGTATGTTTTCTAAAAAAATAAAGAAGCCTAGTTCAAACTAAAATCTAGTTTATTAAACATGCCAAACAGCCTATGTTCCTTCTTGTTCAATTCAAACCAGGATTTTAATACTAAATAATCTACATTATAGTTCAACCCAATAGGAGGCAAGGACCTCCAAAGGTTGGAGTCCAGACAACCAGACCTTGGCTAGATCAATTTCTAGAATGCCTAAATGCTTGCATTCTGTACAATGTTGCGTTTTTATAAAATAGAACTGTACCAAATAGAAGGGAAGAGAATCCTCCTTATTTTAAGATACACACATGATGCTGTATGAATTTGTCAAATGTAAAAGGCACACACATGATGCTGTATGACAGTTAAATGGGGTTTTAAGATACAGATATTTGAAGATATATATACATATATATATATATATATATATAGAGAGAGAGAGAGAGAGAGAGAGAGAGAGAGAGAGAGAGATAGATAGAGATAGAGAGAGCGGCAGAGAATGCTTACAAGGAAGGTATGTTTTCTAAAAAAATAAAGAAGCCTAGTTCAAACTAAAATCTAGTTTATTAAACATGCCAAACAGCCTATGTTCCTTCTTGTTCAATTCAAACCAGGATTTTAATACTAAATAATCTACATTATAGTTCAACCCAATAGGAGGCAAGGACCTCCAAAGGTTGGAGTCCAGACAACCAGACCTTGGCTAGATCAATTTCTAGAATGCCTAAATGCTTGCATTCTGTACAATGTTGCGTTTTTATAAAATAGAACTGTACCAAATAGAAGGGAAGAGAATCCTCCTTATTTTGGGGAACCTTTAAAATAGTGCAGTTAAGGCACCTAGGCAACAAGTAGCTTAACAGATATCACATTGCATCTTAATTTCTAAATCACATTAAACTAACATTCCCCTTCTACAACCATGTAAAACAAAAATAAAAATATTTTTAAAAATATTAAAAGCATTGAATAACATTTGATTATTTAGAGCTCGAGTGCTATCCGTGGTTAGTCATTAATCAAAATTTTATACTTTTTAAAACAATTAATTTGCTATGTCATTATGCTATGCTTGTAGATGAATTCCTCGTCCAAAAGTTAATTTTGCTCTCCTATGCATGTAGGTATCCCATACCTTAGGTGGCCAGTGCAAGGTCAGTCAGGTGCATGTATTCAACAGGTGCATGTATGCATGGGTTCCTTTGCTACAAATTCATATTCCCTCGACCAGTGCAAGGTCAGTCAGGTGCATGCATTCAACAGCTTCAAAATAATCCACATGGCATATAAAGCATTTGATTAAGATCCAACCATGTAATGCTAGAACTCAATTGCTACAGCACCAAACAACTAAGTACTGCCTACATCTTAAGAATGACATAATGGAAAACCCAACGCCAGATAACAGCACATGTATTTGCTTAGAAGTGTGATTTATATGTTTGTTGACTCACAAACATTCAGAAAAGGCAGATAATCCAAAAGATAAATGGAAAGGAACATGAAATACCTTTTAAATTTTAGTTGAAGAAAGACCGACAGAAGGCTAAAGAAGGCTTGCATCAGCTTAAGATAACAACCTGCATATAATTAGATCTTATAGAAAGAAGCAGCCAGTCAAGAGTTTAATCCGATACATGCAACTTACCAAATCAATCAACCTCTCAAAAAGTGGGTAAATTAGTCTAGGAGTACACTTCTCACATCATATGATGCAGTTATTATGACATTGGTCCAACTGGTGCATTAACATGCAGGTCAAGCACCACCACCAAGGCTCTTCCTGCCCAATAGACAAGCTCCCCGCACATCCATGTGTAGCTCCACAAACACACACACACAAACAAACAAACAAACACAGTGTATGTTAACCAAATACAACCAGTGATATTCTTAATCTTTTTTACTAGATATATCTGACAAGTTACCAGACAGCAGAACTAACTGCTACAGTTTGGAAGGTTCGACACTGGGTGACAAGGTTATGCAACTGAGCTTATTTAGAAGGCCTAGTTGATCTCAAGCAAGATTCCAACAGAGTCAAGGAAAACAAATATGACAAGATTCCAACAGAGTCAAAGAAGAGACAGTTTTTCATTTACCTTCATGCATCCAAATGGCAGAGAAACATTATCAAACTTTCAAGGAGTGAGTGTTGCATGTAATACAAGTGGAGTAATTATAATTGGGAACCATCCAATTCACCAGGAGAAATGTTACTGTAAACCAAAATAAAGGTGTAAATGATCGATCAATGCAGATGTGATTCGGTCTCATTGTTGGAATACACTTTACTGATTCGGTCATCAGCAATGAAATCAACTTTAGTTCCAACTTCGCAGTGTGAGTGTGAGTGTGTGACTTCACTGTGTCCGGTGTCCCATAACATTTTTTTTATCAAAGTAAGCATAATCTGATCTGGGATGGTAGCCGTTTATATCACAATTCAAGTGAAATCCATGGAATCATTCCACAGAAATAAGATTCAAGCACCACACTTACAATGTTTGTTGCACTTGATCCATTTGTTTATGCAACATCTAAGCTTTATAGCTTGTACCCAATGATGGACATCAAAAGCCAAATCAAATATCTAAAACAAAGTGATTAAAAATAACCAGACATTAATTAATTGGGATGAACATAATTACATTTGTCAAACTTCCTTCCCATCAGACTTTCCCATGCACCAGGAGCATAAGAACTAGTTACATGTCGTGCTGGTACTGTGTTTCTACCATGTCAAATTAATAGACAAGCAACTAAGTTAAGTGTATATTTTCTTTAATTCTGTGTAAAAAAAAAAAAAAAAATTAAAACACTTCCTGAGTTTATAAAAATGTTTTCAAATTCAATCATGTGGCATAACAAGGGCCAGCTTGGATAACATGGTCTTAGGTACTAATTACTAACCCTACTGCTCCTTCAACATATAATAACTGATTCAAAATCAAGAGTGAAGTCTGCATATTCACCTCCCATTCTACTTTTATAAAGCAATATTAAAATAGTTGTTATCACATCATGAAGCAAATTTCGGGTGGATAGGGTATGATATATAGCAGGGAAAAAAATGCAAAACCACTCTGAACGGTGAAATTCAAGTTAAAAGGCAATAAACAGCACACGGAATTAAATACACAATTAAAAAAACAGATAAAATACATCACAAAATAATGTAAACCAGACCAATACTGCTTTTCCTTCCCAAATTCTGGTCAAATCCTTCTCTAACTGTTGCGTGAACCGCTGCCAAAGCTTGACCACCTTCTGAAAGTGCAAGCAACTAAATTTCTGCCTGCAATAATGCCTAACCTCGCCTTGAATGACGATGATCGACCAGAACTGCTCGAAGCAATGTTAGCAGCCCCGTCTTGGGTGGCAGCTGCTGGGAGGTCTACATTGTTTTCCTGCACACCACCGTCACTAGCACTGGCGTCCTGATGCTCGGGTTCACCGGTGTCCAAATTAACAGCCAGTGATCCCCTGTTTGCCCTCAACCAATCAGCACCCTCACAAGTCACTGCCCTACATTTCTTAACCTTCACCTTCACCAAATTAGGGCAACCACAAGCAAGTGCTTCCATGCCATGATCTGAAACAGGGCAGCTCTTGATACAAAGCTTCTTCAATGCCATGCACTTTGCAGCAATGCACGAAATTTCGTCATCGCCAACCGACTCACTTCCACACAATGCCAACCGCTCTAAATTCAGGCAATTCGCTGCCAGAATCTCTAAACTCCTACGTGTTGGATTAACACCTATAAGCACCAGTTCCTGAAGGTTTGGGCAATGTTTTGCAACAGCAATTAGTCCATCGTCGCTTATACGATTCGTCTTCCATCCGTCTATGTGAAGCTTTCTCAAAAGCTTACACTGTTCAGCAACTGACTTAAGCCCCACATTTGTGCATTCAGGTGTCTTCACAAGGTGTAAGATTTCAAGATTCGAACAATTAGATAATGCCGCGAGACCAGCATCGCTTACCTGAAGCCTCTCGAGATGAACTTCCACCACAGCGCTGACTCGATTCGCTATCACTTCCAGAAGCTTATCCCAATCGCCGGAGCACCTGAAAAGCTTTAGGGTTCTTAGATTCTTCGAACCGATGATGAGAGGACCGAAACATTGTCCATTGTAAAGCTCCTTCAAGCATATCGTTTTGAGAGACGATGCAGCCACACCGGGCCCGATCGGCTCCGCAGCTGCTCCGTCAGTGATGCCGCGGAGCCGCTTCACCGACAATTCTTCGAGCGACGAGCAGTTATCCAGCACGGCGTTCATGCCTTTGGCTCCGAACGTGCACGATCCACACGAGAGCTTCTTCAAACCCTTGCAATTTTTTGCCAAGACCAACATGCCGGCGTCGGTCAACTCTCGGCAAGCACGGAGCTTCAGACGGGTTAGGTTTCGGCATCGGAAAGAGATGAGCTTGAGAGCTTCGTCGCCGATGCTCGCAGATCTGCGATCGCATTTCAGAGCGAGTTTAGTCACCGCATCGAACCTCGAAAACAGCGACGGAACCACCGACAGAAGATCGGCTTGGGCGTTGAGAGAGAGACGGTGACGGCTTTGTCCCTCGATCTGAAACCACCGGCGACAGACAAGAGAGCATCGTTTCCGATCACCGGAGCCAAGCGACTGGAATATGCAAGCTAAGCACTCGTCGGGAAGGTTGGAGATGTAGTCGGGGAGATCAGGAGCGTCGATAATGATGTCCTCAAATGAATCAATCGATTTACCATTCATCGGAGATATCACACCCGTCGATCTGTGCTTGGAAGACCGATGGCTATGATTGGTGGTGTCGCGACGGGTTGGAACAGCGGCCGTCGAAGCTGACTGGCCCATCCACGGCGACCGGATCAGGAATGATGGACCTGACCTGACCTGACCTGCACCTGCACGAGGCTCGATCCCTTATCCGATAGTGGAGGGAGCTACTGTTCTTCCTCGGATGTTTGTGTCGTGGCTTTGCATTTGCAACATCGAAAGTTCAGAGTCGAACTTGAAAATGGATTTCATTTGGCTTTTGGGTGGTTTGCAACCTTTTGACAATTCTCCTATAGTAGTAGTACATTTCCTCTGCATGTGGTGGGTGAGTTTTTATGGTGGCACGCTCGGAAAGTTACCCTAGTCCTCCTCTCATAATTTCATGCTTTTTTTTAAATTTTCACTTGAGGGAGGCCGTTTTCTAGGCAGGCCCTTTGAACCCACCCCAAAGGCAACAAACCGGATATAACAACATGTCTCATAGCTACAGCATCAAGTTAGTTAAGAGTGATAAAGGGATGGCAAGAATCGATCCCAGGCCATGTCTGTGGCCGCTCAAAGACTTCCCAAAGGGAGGCCATGTTTTGCGCAACCATAAAATTGTTATATTTGTGATACTATGTTACGGATTTGAAATAGAATTTTTTTTTTTTTTATACGAGATGGTAAGATTTCGTAGGCCATCGATTTACAATAGAAAGTGTCTTTTTACGCGATAATATAAAATTATGTGCATCTAACATTCTTTTGATCTTAAAGATTGTATATATTTTCATCCATTGTAGACTTTGTAGCCCTCCCTTAAAAAAGAGAAAATAAAGTCTCTAAAAACATTTCGAGCATTTTAAAATTGTTATATTTATGATAAAAATGTCACGGATTTGATCTTAAAAAAGAGAGAAGATTGTATACATTTGATCCATTACTTTGCACCCCTTTCTTAAAAAAGAGATAATAAAGTCTCTAAAAAGATCCCGGTGACTACTGAGCACAATTAACTTTTCTTTCATTTTTCATTTTGAAAGATTAAGAATTCAAGTGATTTACTGAATTTGATGTTACAATTATATATACATGTAACTATGACTATAATTTTCATCTTGAAATTTGAAATGAGACAAATATAATTTCTTTTTAAGAGATTTAGCATGGGTGTGGATTGGATTGGAATACAAGGAGACGTGAAAATGATAAGGGTAAATTTAAAAGATTTTTTTTTTTTGTTTTTTTTTTTGTAAGTTAAATTGTATTAATATCCAAAAAAAAAAAAGAATTACACAGGCCCAAGGCTCAAGAGAGAGACCAAACCATTATACAATCCAGCCCATTAAACTATCCAAGCCATGTAAACAAAGACATCTATAGTTTACGAGCCCTAGACTAATAATGTCTAAGTCAATAGCGGCGCCATCTCTGATGGATTAACAAAGGCAGAGCCTTATATCATTCAATTTGGTGGCCCCGGTGGTAGCTGGATGAAGGAAGCTGGTAAATCCCATTCAATCATCAATCTTCTCGCTAAAGAAGAGTCCTTCACTTGTATAAAAAATAGCCAATGTCTTGCCATGTCACTTAACTAACTACTTCTACGTTCTGTCCAAATCTGATTGACCGTGGTTGAGAGCATTGGTTTGTTGATTGAGTTTTGCAAGCTCCTACCTTTCTAGTGATGTGATGCCCATGTGATTAGATCACTTCATAGAGATGGGGTACATGGAATCGACACTTGTCTTGAAGATGATTCCAAATCGGTCTTATGTAAGAGCATTCGAAGAATAAATGGGTGTGGGATTCATCGATTATTTGGCATAGGTGACAAAGCTTGGAGTAAGGAATCGATTGCATGCTTCTGCGTTCCAGGGTGAAGAGGCAGTTATGCACCTCAAGCCAAAGAGTGAATTTGCCCTAGAAATTGAGAAGGAGTTTTAAATCGGGTGATGCCACAGCCTTGGTTGATGAAGAGGGGAAAGTCATTCAATAGTGTGGCTAAGTAAGAAGGATCCATTGGGTGAAGGGATCCAAAAATAGGTGTTTAGGGATGAACTCGGAGGATCAATCGCAGAAAGATCATAGAATTATTCAATGATATCTGTTGGAAATTCCCATTCATTATTCGAGGTGTCCACTGCAACCCGTAAGGTGAGAAGCCCTACTTGAAGCCAATTATACTCCTAAAAATAAGTATGAGCTCCATCCCCTACTTTCCTCTTTAGCACAGTCTTAACAATCCTTTTATGCTGAAGGAGTTTCTTCCAATTGCTTGAGCACAATTGAGGGGGTGTTGATGGTCCAAAATCACCTATCCCGAATAAGTTATATCTTTACCCATTGTGCTTATAGGTTGTCCCTGCGACTGGAGATTATATTCCATAGGTGATTAAGATTTGTTGTCTTATTCAGTGCATCAAGACTGTTAAAACTCAGACCACCACATTCATTAGGCTAGCATACAGTAGCCCAAGTTACCTTAGCCCTAGAATTCTTGAATTCAATTCCTGCCCATAGAAAATTCCCCAATAGCTTATTGGCCTTAATTAAGATTGTTTAGGGAGAATGAAGAGATTTGACCAATAGTTCATCATGTTATACAGTACTGATTGAATGAGTTGTATTCTGTCGGCATAGGATATGAAACTAGATGAGCAGTGCCTTATACTGCAAGTGATTTTATCCACAAGCCTTTATAGTCAGGGGCTTTGAGCCTAATGGAAATTAAGCGGACACCCAGGTATTTAATGGGAATTTTACCACATTAAAAACCAAGTAGGTTTTTAATGTCATTAATGAGGTTTGTGCCAATACCAGATATAAAGAAAGAGTTTTTAGAGTTGTTGATGCATAAGCCAATGAGGGCAGAGAATTAGTCCATAGCTTGCTTAAGTGTGGATATGGATGGTAGGTCCCCATGGGAGAAAAGAAGGAAGTCACCCGCAAATATGAAGTAAGAGATAGACAAGTTTTTGTATCTAGAGTGGTTTTTAAATGAAGGGTTATTTGAAATGAATTTCTTTGTGATGGAATAGAAAACTTCCATAACAATGACAAAAAGTAGGGGTGAGATTGGATCCCCTTGTGTAAGCCCTTTGACCCCTTGAAAGTGGCCATGGAATTTTCCATTTAAGGAGATTGTGAAAGATAAAAAAAGGTGATGTAAGCTTTAACCCAAGCAATAAAAGCTAGAAGGAAGCCAAATAGGGATAGAGCGTCAATCATAAAATCCCACTCAACTGAGTCAAAAGTTTTCATTAGATTAACCTTGATAGCACACCTAAGAGGCTTAAGACTTCTATAGTACCCCTGCAGTAATTCTTGAGCAAGCATCACAATATCCCCATATGCCTTCCTTTAACAAATATTTTCTGGTAAGGATCAATAATAAATGGGAGAGCCTGTTTAAGCTTATTGTCAATCAGCTTAGCAATACATTTGTAAAGTATGTTGCAACACAAACTAAGTCAGAAGTCATTAAGGGTTGAGGGGTTAGGGACATTAGGGACCAGAGCAATATAGGAATTATTAACTTCCTTAAGCATTTTGTCATTGAGAAAGAAAGTTTGGATGGTAGAGATGATGTCCCTGCCTATACAATAGGCCATGTTATGTGGAAAAAGTGAGCATTAAATCCATTGGGGCCTGGGGAATTTTCCTTACTAGATTTGCTAAGTTAAGTAAATGGGGAAAACTTTCACGTTTTTAAGTTTCTTCATTTCATGAGGAAACATGTCTGGAATTTTTCATCTGTAGGAATAGATTCAAGTGCTAGTAGTGGGTGGAAAGTTAAGGATTTAGTGATGAAATGCAGTAATGTAAATTTTCTGGGTAGGAGGGAGGAGAGCTTCCCTGTAGGCATTGAAAGTGGGATATAACTTTAGCCTTTATTAGGTTCTCATTGTCAATAAGAGAACCTGCAGCTAATGTTAAGCTAGAGATCTTCCTTCTATTGATTTAAAAATTGAACATCTTGAAGAAGAAAGATGTGTTGTTATCCCCTCCTTCAACCACCTTTTTCTTGATTTTTGTTTGATAAATTATTCCTCGAAAAGAGCCAACCTTGTGTATTGCTGCATTTGTTCTTTCTCTTGAAGCTTCAGGTTCATGTCCATGGGATTGGTGTAAAGTATTTGTTAACTGTTTGGCATGATTAACCATTACAGAAGCTTAAGAAATCTTAACCCTACATTTATGTCTCAAGATCCTTTTAAGGGACTTAAGTTTCTGGACTATCTCGTACATGGTTATGCCTCTCACCTAAAAGAACTATGTCTGATCAACTATAGGTACAAAGTGGGGACTAGTGGAGAAGTAGTTAAAATACTTGAAGGGTATTTTCTTCCTTTCAGTAAGAATGCCTAGTTTATTAGGATAGGGTTGTGATCAAATATGCTTGGAGGCAGGAAAATGGCAATCTATCATGGGAAATTAGAAGGACCATACTTCATTAATAAATGTTTTATCCAAGATTTTGGCAATATTACCATGCCCAATACTTTTGTTGTTCTAAGTCTATTGAATCCCTATGTACCTCAGGCATAATACAATAAGTGAACTCAGTCATAACATTAGCTTACATGTGAGATCCCTCAAATTTCTTATGAAAGTTAGTGATAATTAAAATCCCCAAGTACAAGCCAAGGGAGTTATTGAATGAACTTGCATATTGCTTGATGCTGGCCAGAGATGCCTCCTGTCTAAATAAGCTTTATCACCATAAACTAAGGAGATAAAACAGTGTTTGTTGTTAGGAAGATGCATTATTTGAAGATGCACTGAATAGTGCATGACTGGTGTAGTTGTAAGGAGAAGATTCAACTTCACTTTGTTTAGATTCCTTATATACCAAAATTTTTCCAAAATAGAGAAGTCGTAATTATGGATCATTGCATACTCAGGAGCTATGAATTTATGAATATCCCCTTTGTTTTCTAGGGCCACCCTTGTTTTTATAACAACTAAGATATCCAGCTTATAAGAAGCAATTAGATTTTATAGCTTAAGTTGCTCAAGAAGGCTGTTTAAGCCTCTAATATTCCATGCAGCTAGGGTAATAATTGAGATGAGCGTTTGGGGTTACCTGTTTGTTACCCAATAATTGACTCTAGAGGGGGAGTGAATGGCCAATTTTCGCAATTTTATGAAAATGATTTCTAGCTAGCTTCTTAAAACAAGTATGCAATAATAAAATGAAATAGACAAGCAATTTAAAGCATAATAATAAGAGAGATAGGGAAGAAAAATTGCAAACAATAACTCGGCGATTTTTGCAAAATTCAGAAACTCCTACTCCTCGGCTCAAGATCACTCTTGAAACTTTCCCAAATCATTATGGCTTCTCCTTACGG